AATGATAACAAAATAACTTCTTTCTCACTTCGATTCTGGTGAAAAACTGACTCGAAACATAATAATCTAAGGCTTTTGAATCAATCTATATTATTAATGTTAATCACGATTCTTGTCATTAAATAAATCTGTCAACAAGAGGCAACGCCTATTTGATAAACGAAACACTACCAAGGTAGGTGAAGGATTCCTAATGCTTGATCATCAATCTTAATAGATTATGGACTGGATACATTTAGAGTCATGACTTCAATTTTCTTCAGGACGATCTTGAAGCCAAGTTGATTCACATATTTGTTGAGCTGCTTGGTTTTGCTCTGGATCCGACCCTGCGTGTGCTAAGTCATCAGCAAAATCCAGATCTTCAAGCATGCTGAAAAGGGACTACTCTATTCCATTTGTTTCTCTTGTTGCCTGTCTCATGACCCAGTCGATAGCCAAATTGAAAAGGAGAAACTACATCGCACCACCTTGTCTCACGCCAGTCTCAGCTTCAAAAAATATCTTGCTATGTCTAATGTTGTCGGAGAAGTGCTGACATAACATTTAGAATGAAAAAGGCTGTTTATTGGTATGTTAGTCTTGTTCACTCGGAGTGTTAAAAAAGAAATCGGTCAATAGGTTCTCGAGATGCTAAACGTGACGTACGGTTTAAGTGTGAAGTATGGGTTAAATTTTAGATAGAGTAAACTGTTTACACATTGTTATAAAAAAGAAAGAGACATGATTTCTTCCACCAAAACATCAGGAAACTTTTAGAGTTCAAAGACTTGGAAATAGAAATCGCTGGAATGTGGAAGGCAAGAACAATAGTACATGAAGATATTATAAACTGAATCTCTTGGCACAAAAGATTCAATTTGTAATCTCTTGCTTATAATATGTAATACCCGTGATCGCGCGCGGGTGCTCTTGGAGGGTCTTACAGTAATAAGAGAAGACCAAGTGAATATCAACTGGAGAAGACGTATGGAAGCAAATCAATGAAATTAAAAAAAACAACAACAATTGATAGGTGAGATAAACGAGTAATACAAGCAATATAATAATGGTGATAGTAATAATCACAATAATGATAGGAATAATGATGAAAATTAGGACAACAATAGTAAGATTAATAAAACATGTAATACTAAAAACCAAGTTTAATTATTGAAGGTGAAACGAGAAAGATTTTTGGTTAACTTGCAGCCCCACTGCAATATTCCTTGAAATAGGATAGGATTAGAAAAGGTCAGAGACGCCTTATCTAAGGTGTATAATTTATAAAAATAATAAAAACTACTCAATGCAAAATTATTACCAACCTATGAAAGGAAGTAAGTGCTCTTCAATAATAGCAGCAAAGCAATCCTGTTACATAGATTAAATTCTTCAGCCGATCGCCACCACAACTGAAGTCTCATGAATCTCAAAGATGCAACAGACTTCATCAACTTCATAAAAAAAAAGGATTCCGAAAGAAGTGATACTCGTTTTAATGGACGTTATGAGCTTACACACAAATATACCCCCCCCCCCTCCCAATTTCAAAGCGCTTACTGGAGAAAACCATGGGCAGCAAATGGTACTAGATTTTGCAAATGAAGTGCAAATCCTAGATAAAGGCACTTACAAACCGCTTGTTTGGAAACGCTACATCGAAGACATAATCTCTCTCTTACACACCAGTAGAGGTGTCGTCAACCAGTTCAATGAACAGGCAAATGAATACCACCCAACAATCAAATTTACGGCTGAAATATCTGTTTCAGAAGCTACTTCCTTAGACGCCACTTTCTATAGGGGCAAAAGATTCAAAAGGGAGTTAGTATTAGACGTGAGAATCCTCTTCAAACCAACAGAGGTATTCCAGGACACTTTCTACACAACATTTCACCCACCGGGAGCAGAGAAAGGCTTCAAAAGAAAAGCTTTTGCAGCCAGGCCTCTCTCTGCTAGTTAGGATTTGTATTTCAGTTCAAATCGTAACTGGCATAGAGAGGCTACCCGGATTTTTTCATTGACAACCCACTCGTAAAGGTGAAATTTGAAGGAAGTAAACGGGCCGTCCTCTAACAGGGAAAAATAAACAATCGAATCTTGCCCTTTGTCACACAGTACTACCCAACAGTTCCAAACCCTAAAGAAGTCCTTATGAGCAAGTGGCATTTAATGCAGCAACAACCATTTCTAGGAGAAATCTTCAAAGAACCGCCCATAATATCATACAGAAAGAAGCGTTCACTAATACTCGTGAGAGCAAAATTATAACAAAGGCGAGAAACCGAACATGCCATGGAGCCGTGTAAACACACGTAACAAGTACAGACTGGACGTACTACGAAGTCATTTAGGCCTATAAACTCCAAATTACACGGGAACATTAATAAACCTCGTTTTTAAAGCAAATAAATACTTTTTAATGTCCCTGAGACAGTGTGACTCGCAATTCTAGCTAAAATATGATCCCGATAGCACCCGTCCTGTCCCCTATCCCGCCTTCGAAACGAAGCATATCCCATATCCCGCCTCCACTTTAAGCCTCATCCTGCATCCCGCCAAACCCACGTTGGACCCTCTTTTTAAGTCCTAGTTAAAGCAAGAGACCACTTTCTATTTCTCCACTGAAACGTTCACAAAATGTATTAACCGGTATACCTAAGGGTCTATCACATTACCCCTACAAATGTTTGAATCTCTACCGATAAGTAATCCTTTTCCTATGACTTACTATAGCGCTTCGTTTTACTTCCGCTGAACGCCTGACACAGGCTATTTTGTAAAATTAAGTGCTGCGGTAGTTGATCGCCGCGAATCTTGTTCACTGTAGCATCAGAGAAAGTTGCAAAGGTTTGTGATTGGCAAGGTGATAATACATCACAGCAGACGATGCATACCGTATTTATTTGATTAACCCTTTGCATATATTTCACACAAAAATAGGCATAGTTACAACAATGCTTGCCAAGTCTGTTCTTTATTACAGACACCTGCAGACCTATACATATTTAGAAAGCTAGGAAAATATGCTTTCATATGAGTTAGAGAAATTATGGGATATGATACTTTTGTGACGTCACGAGCCACCTAATTAGCATAATTATGCAAATAAGAACTGATACTTGGTTTAGTGACTAGGCCCATATCTAAATAAAGACTTAACCAAGCTTTCATTTCATCCACAGTGACTGGGTACCATACAGAACTTTCCCTCGGGCCTCTTTTCTGTTCTGCATACAAATTGGTCTGACTAACTAATAACTGCCATACCTCTGGTGTAAAGAAAAGTGAGAAGAAATCCAAACACGATTTAAGATCTCTGGTGTTTACATTTATTCCGGGGTTTTCTTTAAAGTCAATATCTCTTCTTTGTTTAATTTCTCTGGACCACTCTCTTTCCACGACCTCCATTACCTCCTGTGTGCTCTCATCAGCCGAGTCTTCACTGGACTCCTGTTCACTGGATTGCGATTCATCGGAGTAAAATTCTTCTTCAGAGGCTCGATGCTCCATTATGTTTATAAGAGGGAAGTCATCCTCGTCAACAAAGCGAATTTCCACATTACTTTGATCGTTTGCGGAGCAAAAATCGAGTGTGCGATCGGGGTTAAGAGCCGCCATTTTTAAATCACCGTGCTGAAAATGTTTAACTTATAAGAAACTCTCAAAATTCGTCTCAATTTGTATAGGTAATCACATGAGGCCAAGTACTATTAAGGATTAATTGCACGAGAGTTTTCAAAATTTTCCAAAATTGCCCGAGTCGCGAAGCGACGAGGGCAATTTGGAAAATTTTGAAAACTCAAGTGCAATTAATCCTTAATAGTACGAGGTCTCATGGGATTACTTGTTTATCAATAAAGGGCAAAATTTATACGAAGGAAAATCACGCGCGCAGTCTATTTTTATCTGGGAAGCAACGGATTAGCAATGCAACGGATTAGCCAATCATTAACAGGTAATCATGCCCTCTCTTGATTACTAAAAATGCCCTCGATTAAGAAAAAAATGCCCTCTCTCTCAACCAATCAGCGCTCAGTAATTTTGCCCTTTATTGATAAAAGCGAAAATCGAGCAAAACTGCAAAATAACTTCATGTAATCTGGCACAGAATGAAATAATCGCGTCCAGGCCCTTAAATCTCGTTTTATGGTCTCCGAGAGGGGAGTTGCAGCGTTTATTAAATTTTTCGTCATTCGAGTGCGGCGTTTATTCGACGGTGGCTTCATTTAAAATTCAATTTATTTCTTGCAAACTGACCATTTTCATTTTGAAAAACAGGAACATGTTTTAGTGCTTGTCTCAAAACTAATTTTTTATATTTCTCTCAATTTCATAATTTGCATGTTAATACTACTGCAATACATAAATTGAATAAAGATCCTATGTCGGATATGCTTTCTCGACATTCAAAAGAAGTTGTGTCTGGTTCACTCAAATTTCAAACTGCGATCGAAGAAATAATCACTGTGTGCTTTTTGTGTCTTTTATTCGACTAAACGCCGCATGATGATGCGGCGTTTATTCGAGGGTGGCGTTTTATCAAATAAATACGGAACGATACACCTTTAAGATTTTCTGGTCCCGTCTGGATCATTGATTTATTAAAATTACACACTATCTTGGAGGCAGGCAAAACAACGAAATGTTTGGGGCTGGAGTGATGGGTCCGGAAGGAACTACCAGGGGGGTGGGGGACTATAAGGATGTACACCAGATTTTACACGGAGATTTTAAAAATGAACGGAATTGTTCCCTCAGGGAGCCATCACAAACTGTTTGCACCTTTTAATCTATAAAATTTTAATTTATAAGGTGGGATTTTGAAGAATCTGCTTATGTTTCCATTTTGTGGGTGCTTGAGGTGTCCATCAGTGAGGTTGCAAGGAGTTTGGGACAAAAAAAACACTCGAGGCTACGTGATTTGAAAAAACACCACAGGAATTGTTTGAAATAAGATATGAATTCTTGACGCGTCACGTATCATCTTGTGTTACTTATCAAACTCGTGGTGTTAGGTTTCGTTTAAGGACAACGACTTTACGACGAAATACGTGTAGCGAGAAGAAAACCGGATATATCTGGCGAAGGCCTGTTGGAAAAATCATAAATTTGAAGAGGTAAGTGTCTAGTTTCTGTGACAATGAATGAAGGAAGAATTTTGTCTCTTTTTTTACCCTTGCCATGTAGTTAATTCTTACAAACGAATGATGTATGCAATATGAATTTAGTTTATGTTAGGATCATCTGCAACTCGAAAATATTGATCTTAGCCGCTTTCTCGCTGGTCTTCAACATTTTTACGTCCCATTTCTCCCAAAAGTAGCATTGTTGCTGATCAACAAACCCTACTATGCAGCGACAGTAGTGAGAGACATAGGACATAGAAGTATTTTGTTGCGCACCCGCTTACTTGAGAGATATTTTGTTCGGAACGGAATAATTTTCCGTTTCAGCTTATCTCGACCGTAAACTAAGCTTGATGAACCGCTTTTGTACATAATTGTTATTTTAAAATACATCCGTCATAGTTCATTTATTTTCTTAAATCTTTTCTCGCGCGGAAGATTATTTTCGTTGAGTTGTTGATGTATAGAGGTCGCGTGTTACGACTTATTTAAATAAAATTTGACCCGCAACGCGCATTGTTGCCACCTTTCTGTTTGCTCCGAAGCATGTTAATGCTATTACATGCAATTGAAAATTACGAAAAAGAACTGCACGAGCAGTGTTGGGGCAAATTTCCGGAAACATAGAAGGAAGACTTAAGCATTTGAAATGTTCCCGATGCCAAATGGATTTCGTTCTCAGCCCTCAAATGACTGTCAGTTTTGGCAAATCGTTCTGTGCCACGTTATTCGCCACAATTAAATTTTCAGTCTCCAGAAAGTTTATTTTTGAAATTTTATGATTACTTGGATTTTGATTTTCACGATGATCCACGTCAAAAGGAAGATATTCCAGCTGCTACCGAGTATAATATTCGTATATCTATTTCATGTTTGTCTTCAGACGGATTATTTTTATTTTCAGACATTGACTTAAAAACAATTATAAACAAATCTCGTGATTGGGTCTTTAGAAACTAAACATTTCATATTTAGGAGCGTTTTTTTCGATTTGTGATATATGGCTGACAAAGGTTTACCGCAGCTTTTTAATCAAAGGCAGCTCGTTGCAAGATTATACGATCTATTTTATTCCTCATCAACAATCTCCCTCGCAAAAATTTTATATGTTTCAGTTCCATGTTAAAAAAAAATATATTCACTCCTAAAGGTTGATTATGCTCCTCGAAATTTATCTGTTTAGAACAAAAACATGTGTAAGGTTTAACTTTATAGCAGGTTCGAATGTCAAAACGCATTGTTGTACAGATGTCCGTCTTGAGGAGGCTCCATAGGGTTTTTGCCCAATGTCAGGTTGGCGCACACGCCAGCGTAATGTTTTTCTTGAAATTTTTATGTTTCCGCTTTTCAAGGTCACTATAAGCCATCAAAAGGCGATGAGCAAGGTTCGGACTATCGTTTGCTGTAGTAAATATTAGGAAAGGTACAGATATGTTAAACGGTCGGTTGACCTCTTTTTCAGGCATATAAGGCCTATGAATATTACGGGCGCAGTTGCTGGAAACCCAGGATTCCAACGCATTAAAACTGTGTTGTGTTAAACTTTTTTAACACACCTTTTCAGGTAATAATCAGGGTTCTCAATAGAAGGCGGCACCCGGCGATTGATCGCCGCTTACTTTGTGTTTAAGTCGCTTTTCTTTTCTTTGTTTTGTTCTGCCAGTTTGCTTGAGTTGTTTCCGAATTTCTCTTCCGTTTCTTGCACGACTGTGATCCAAACAAAACCGGGAAACTTGCTTACGGTTCTGGACTCGATCGATGAGTCCAGGCGTTCACGGTGAAACATGGTAACGAGGCCTCCTACTTTATCAGTGGTCACCTCCTACTTAAAAATCTATTGAGAACCCTGATAATTGTGCGATCGTATCGAGCCGCCATGTTTGTTTTGCATGTTAATACTGAGTTCTTACCTAGATCTCGCGCGGTCAACTTCAGTTGCCGGGTATTTGGCTGTTCTGTGCGTTGAAACAAATCTGCTAGCTGTGGGTTTGTACCGTCAGAAACTTTCGTTCGCTGTCCGTGAGCTTAGTGTCGTCCGTCTATAATTTGACAAGTGAAAGAAGCACTGACACAAATATTAACTGGAAAAGCCCAAAATCGTCTCTGGGGATACACCTTACTTTGCATGAGTCCACTACAACAAGTTTCCACGCGATACGATGTGGTACGATCGACCAGTTAGAAAGCAGAGCGTCGTCGATACTTCACAGTTCTAGTGTGAAGAGCATTAGCTGTGTATGTGGGCAACCAATGAACAGTGTAGAAAAGCCGAACGCTTGGGAAATCAAAACGGAATTATTCTTCTTGATTCGCTCTCTCAGCCCCAAGTTTCAGGACGAAGCAGTCCATAGGCCTATCCGGCTTTGAAAGACAGGAATTCAAGACAGTAAAAGCTACGCCTTGATTTTATCTCGCTTAAGTCGCCTGTAAGTGATGGTTAAAACAAAGAGCATACTATATCAAATGGCCGTGGAAATTTTGAATCGTTTTTCTGAACTGGTTGTCTCTGCTAAATTTAATAAAGTACATGCTGTAAGTTGACGCTGCTCTCGAATCCTCGGCCATTGTCACCTATGATAGGTCTTTAGTACCACATGTGAAAACAGAAGCTATCGTCTTCTGCCGACTGAATGTCATTCCCTTTTTTATTCAGGTACGCAATCTGTGCAAACCAGCCTAAGTGTTATTATCGCATGGCAGTGTGTTTAGACGGGAAAAAGGTCTGCATTTGCCTCCCCCTTACCGGACTGCTTTTGTGTTGCTTGTACAGTATTTTATTGAAGGAACCTAAAACGCGGTTTGCAAGCAGGGATTTCAAAGGTGGAGATGACTTATTTGAAGTGAACAGCTATGTAAACAATTCCATGTCATTGGAATATGATGACCCTGCTAGACGTTTGTCTTCAAGTGCAATAGGAAAGAATACAGAACAATGGAATGAACGCGTCTCCAAAGGAAGGAGCAAACATATTGAACAAAAACGTCTCCCAAATGCTATAATTATAGGCGTCAAGAAAGGAGGTACGAGAGCTCTGCTGGAGTTTCTTAAAATCCACCCAAAAATTAAGGCGTGCCCATGGGAAGTGCATTTCTTTGATACCGATAAGAACTATGAGTTGGGACTGGACTGGTATAGGGAACAAATGCCAGAGTCATACAAAGGTGACATCACTGTTGAGAAAACGCCAGCTTACTTTGTGAGGGATAAGGTTCCTCAGAGGGTTTATAGGATGTCAAAGAGCGTCAAGCTCATTGCGATAGTACGTAATCCCGTCGAGAGGGCAATTTCGGATTATGTGCAGGTTACACACAGAAGACATGGCGTTCTACCGCCGTTTGAAAGATATGTAACGAATGATAAAACAGGAAAGGTTCTGAGAACTTCCATCGGTTTAATAAGAATTGGTGTTTACGTAAAACATTTACGGAATTGGTTAAAATATTTCCCAATCTCACAGCTTCACTTCGTCAACGGAGATGATTTGATTACTAACCCAGCCAAGGAACTGCAAGCTGTGGAGAAGTTTCTTAACATCGAACCCTTTATTAAGAAGGAAAACTTCTACATTAATCAAACCAAACGTTTTCCCTGTATTAGTAGGTCTTTCAAGTTGAAAAAAGAGAATTCAGGTTGTTTGTCTGAGAGTAAAGGAAGACCTCACCCTTCTATTAGAAGTGACATTCGCAAACTTTTGGAAGACTACTTTCGGCCGTACAATGAGGAGTTTTATAAAGAAGTAGGAAGAGATTTTCATTGGTAATAAACAAAACAGTGTCATGCTTAAACACTAACTGATATTGCAAGTATACTTCTGCAATAAAGTCAATCATTATTACTTTTTAAAATATCAATTTCACAGCCTTGAAATTTCGTGATTCGTGTTGTTCATTCACAAACCGTGGCAATAAGTTTTCAGGATTGTTTGTGTGATTTAGGCGAAGCTCTCGTTTGTTTATCTGTAAGTTTTCTGCCAACAATAATATAATTTCAGCAGCAACGCTCTTATCCGCTGGCTTGGAGACGGCACAAACTGCGTCAATTATGGGAGAAGTTTATGGCGTGATTTTTCTCAACTACTGGCATTAATGTTGTTGGTGGTGTCATTGTTGTTTTTCTTGTTGTTGATTCTCTTTCAATGTATAGGATTTGTTTACCAGGCATGGTTTACTACAATGTTTGATTTGAATCCAAAGAAAATTCTGTAACTTTTCCACGGCGATTTCAAAATCACGAGATTTATTTTGAAAAAATTGATCGACGACTTTGATCATCACACCAAAGCTTGATCTATTTTAAATTAGTGTCGATCAGTTCGAAGCTGTTGAGGTCAGGAGCTAACGGCTAACAGTAACAAGATCACCGCAATGAAGAATGGCTGGATTTTGCTGTACGTTTGAAACATGTTCCAAGTGAACTCCAAAAGGCATCTGAAAAAGAAGAAGTAACGAAACTTACTGGCGTTATCCTTATTCAAAGCGTCACATTCATCAGTAATGATAACATCAAGTTAGGCTTCAACAAACTGATCATCTTTGTAGGCAAACATCACACACAACATTTAACGCCAACTTTTTGCGCGAGAGCGAAAATCGTCTTTCGGCGCATCGAATTCGCGTTAAATAATTTTATTTTTTCCAACACACACCTTTGATCCTCGTATCTTCCCAAGTGTTTTCAATGGTTCAACGCTCCTGACTCCAGTTTCTTGGTCAATACACACCATTTGGCACCGGTTACACTTTCCTTTGTTCTGAGGATTACAGTAATTAGAACTAAACAACAATAACAAACCACTCGGAAATTTAACAATCCACGATTCATTTCTGTTTTCTGTCAAATATGTCCCACTTTATTTGTTTGATTGTTTGTTTTATTTAAGTAGGCAGTAATTTAGCAGCTATATGCTCATGTGAACTTGCTGGGACACAGGCGAAGATTGGACTACATCGCACATTAAAAAAAGATATATACTTGCAAGAATCATTCAATATTCGAGAAAACTAAATCGTCCGAACTATTTACAGAACACATCCTCCCGGCTTACATAAAGACCCAAAGTGTTGGTCTGATCGGGGCATGAACCCTCGACCTCCTCTTGACCTCATTCACGGCAGTCCGGGGATTGAATATTGATAAAGAACAATCAGCCAAACATAGTGCTAGTACGACGAAGATAAAAAGAATAACTCTTTGAAAACTAGTGTAAAACCAAAACCATACAGATTCGCCCACCTCGAAAACCAAATTTCCAATTTTCACAGTTTTCCAGTAGTCTTCCCTGAACGCCTCTCCACCAGCTACAATTAAATTGGGTCTAAACCTTTTGGCTTGTTTTTCCACCTGGAGGTGCAAGATAACATCAAGATAACATCAAGAGAGAGGACAGTGCACTGAAGGACAGTTGGCTGGGATATCCATTTCGTGTTAGTAATTTTTAAAGGGGGTAAGTTTCTAAAGAAACTGTGGTGCTACGTCGGTGGGAGAGTATAGCAGTTAATTTAGTGCTAACAACTGAGTTGAAAACGTAAATTGGCCACCGTAAAGGGTAAAAAGGCTGACGTTTCGAGCGTTAACCCTTCTAAAGGGCTAACGAAGGGCTAACCAAGGGCTAACGCTCGAAACGTCAGCTTTTTTACCCTTTACGGTGGCCAATTTACGTTTTCAACTCAGTTGTTAACACTAAATTACTTAGTAATTTTTAGTTTGAGATAGATATAGCCCTTTTCCTGAGACGTCTGCACTGCGAGTTCACACTTACCTTCCTTACCGAGGTCGTTTTTATCTACAAAATATATTCCATGGTTTTGACCATAATACTGCTTTTAATCAGCAAATGAGATCCATGGTCATCCACGCCGTGATCCCTATTGATGTTATTGGGATGAGCTGAGTGTCGTGTCTGATTTTAAGACTACACGTAAACCTTGTTCTCGTAGGCAGAGGCGAAGAATCTCCGATACACCTTTAACATAAGGTAGAACCGCAGTGGAAAAGAACCTCCGATATATATTTGATATAAGGCAGAACCGCAGTGGAGAAGAACCTCCGAAACACCTTTGATATAAGGTAGAACCGTAGTGGATTCGAAATCTTGAGCGAGTTTCTCTTTGGGTGTAAATGGTTTCGTCTTTGTACTCTTTCGAACAAATGAGGGCGGGTATCCGTTAGAAACAAGAACAGAAGACAAGAGTTTCTTCTCTAGGGCTACAGTTGATGGCTTTGTCGTGAGGTGTTCAGCCCTGTCGAGTAGACACTCAACAATACCACGTTTTACTGATTGAGGGTGTTGCGAGCAAGCACAACAAGTACGGAATCAAGTCAAGTTACTATTGATAACAACTATCACCATTTGCTACAACAGTTTAGTAGCATGAGAAACTTACCACAGTAACCAAAGATGATGGAGTTAAAGGTTGGTCTTGATTAACATTGTTCAGAAGTTCACTGACACTTTCCCGGTTCACCAGGAGGAACTGCGATTCATTAGCAAGAGAAAGAGACCTACTTCCGTTATCTTCTCGCTGTTTCATTCCTATCACAAACAGGGATAATCAGTTCGGGAAATGTGTTAACATTTGCCGTCAAATATACAAAGTTTTTTAAAGGAATCACAAGAATAACACAAAATAGACATGATAACACAGTAATGTTACTGAAGGTTGAGATTACGGGAGTTTATCAATATTTACCTGCCAGTTTACAAGTGCGGCTATCGTCCATGTCTTGTTGAATTAGTCGACAGTTTCTGTTAAAAAATGTTGACATCCACGAGGCAGCGTTCTCTCCGCAGTCCACAGCTGAGATCCTAGAGTATCAAAAGAGCACTGAATGAAACAGTTGGACAGTCCTCCATCTGCTTTTAAAATTCTACGAAAACTGAACAGGATCAACGATCAAGGAGAAATGCTAGTGTCAAATTATACGCCAGTCATACCCACTGACAAACCGGTCCCGACCAAAAGGCCGTACGAGCTTCCATAATGACCAAGAAAAGAAAAGAGACAGTCGAATTTGCTCAATGTAACAGCATCTTTTGCAGATAGAAAAAGAAAAAATAACTGCGAGTGAAGCCGAAAATGCCATGCGAAGGAACGCCGGTTCATGACATTTATTTCGTCTTGATTACGTAGACTTGGGATATTATTAATGCTTAAAACATTGCACATGCATTATAAAAAAAATGGTAGAGAAAAACGCCAAACATTTTCTTAAACAAGTAAAAAGGAGGTAAATTTGCGATTTACCTGTCACCACAGACTTTACTTTGACAAAATATTGCAACCTTTTTATCATTCCCTGACGATAGGTACAGTGGTAACACTAGATCAGGCATTCCTAATTAAAACAAACATCATTTTAACATCAAAACGCAATCGATTGTTTTAACTATGTGCATTCGTTAGAGATACAGGTAAAAGAACACAAATCGACATAGACACTATGAGGAGGTTAAGCTCCAAATGCAGCTCCTTTACCAGTCTCTCAACCTGTTTACTCACTGCAAATATATATTTTCTTTCTGTCGAAATGATACTATATTTCAACCAAAATGCAATTTAACCTCAGTACCACTACTCACAATCGGCATTAAGTTCCTATCTGTTTACCTGTCGCTGTGACTGATAGTGTTCCATTTCTAAGATCCAACAGAGGTTTTATCAGACACATCTTTGCTTCTCTCTTCTGTGTCAGACAAACCCCAGAGTCAGTCACAATCATCCAATGACGATCAAAAACAAATCCTCTGTTACCAACTTCCCACTCATGTACCTGACACAAGAATAACAAATGTCACTTAACTTGCTGTTACTGTAAATACTTTCAATAAGAAAGCAGGGAGACAATACCATTACAAATGGGCAAAGCTGCAAAGGCATTATTTGGTATAAATTTCAGAGAAATCAAGTTATTTCCTATATCTACATTTGTCAGATTGTGAGTGATATCGCTTCCACCTTTTGCATGTTTTTTAGATGTAATTATCCACAGTTTGATGCAAAATCCCTCCATGAGGAATTAAAGCAATTCAAGCTAAATGGATGGATGTCCCTTGAACTTACAGAACAGTGGGTATGAATCTCCGTCTTTAAACTGTTGTTTCGGTAGGTTACCAGAGGTTAGCTAAAAAAATTTCAACTACTGACACCATTACATGTACCTCAAATGCAGCACAAGACTTGATTGGATACAAGCAGATCTTTTCCAACTTTAGATGGTTATTTGGATTATCACCACATTCTTGAGGCACATGTGTGTGCATGTCACAATGATTAGGTGTCAGAGTTCTGATAGACATTTCAATTGGAGTACCTCTCTGACTTGCAGTTGATGCCACTGTTGAATTCCGCTCCATAATGTTTTTAAAATTTGCATTTGAAGCAAAGTCTTCAGATTGCTCAACCAAAATGGAGCTGGAAAGAAACTCAGTATGTTCAGATCTCTCTGCATCTAAAGATCTTTCAGGTAAAGAGTGGTTTGAATTACCCTCCAGGAAGCATTCTCTAATGAATGTTAGAAGTTCTTTTGCATCTGAAAAGTTAGACATGTAACCAAATGAGATTCTCACAGAGCCAGTGGGTTTGCCATCAATGAGATCCATATTATCCCCACACACATGACCCACAGACAAATTTTTCTTCACTTGCTGACTGGAAAGGCTCAGATACTTCTGACAGGCCCCCATGTTACAAAAACAGCCTGTCCTTAGGTGAATATTGTAAAGGCTAGCCATCTTTTCTACCTGTAGAGATAATGACTCAGGTATTTAACTAGAAACACTACAGCAGTGACAAAACCCAAGTAAAGTATAGAAAATAAAAGGAAATAAAATGCAAATGATACCAAATAATTGTTGCATACCTCACTGTAGCCAACAAACTCTCCATTTGCTCTTAGCAGGTTAAAGTTTATAACAGGGCCCTGCTTTGTGTTGTCCTGAAAGTCTGTTTCGCAGTAAATTTTACATACAGATTTTCCAGAACTATGTGTCATTGCAGACATCTTTTCATACACATACAAAGCAATGCTATGGGTGTGATTCAACACATCTTTCATTGATCCTATCAGCTGTTCAAACAATTGAAAGGAATGATGCAAAGCAATGATCTCAAGAAAAGGAACTGTGCCATCTTCAAACCTGAAAAGTTGAAGAAATCTCTTGTCATGAATTACATTTACCAGCTTAATTAGGATACAACTGATATATCCAAATAAGGCAACAGACTCACTAGAAAGAAAGTAATCTTTAAATCTTTAGGTAGTTAAATTTTTAAATCCCACGAATGCTGAATTTCAGGTTGAAAGTTTGGGTGCTGCCTTGGCATTTTTAAACCCTGAATCTCTTGCCTTCATTTCAATTTCACCCATTAAATTATAGAAATGATGGATATGATGCACCTCTTCTCACAATTCCTTATCCAGCAACCAAATCAGAAGAATAATTAGCTGGACTGCAATATCCTGAAATTATATTGAAGTACTATAATAACCTGATCTAATCCCATGACAACCTCTCATTGTGTTGGTCTGAAAAAATATTCTCTAATCTAACCCAAAGCATTGCACATATCACCAAAAGGATACGAACTGGCATTCAATTGATATATCAACTGCCAAAAGGAAATTTGAGACTACAAAAGATTGAAGCTTATCAACACTTGTCACGGACAACACTTCAAGAAACTTTATACTAGGTAACAATCCGCTCCCTCCACCACCTAGGAATTATAACTAGCTAGCTGTAGTGAGAAAACATATTTTCTAGAACCTTAATTAAAAGAGGCAATAACTTTATAAGACATAAAGAACAAAGAGGATAATATATGCCATTTAATTAAATGTACCTCAATTGACACATCATGCACTGTCTCTAACACTCTCTAACTGTCATGAAGCTAACATGAGGTTATATTTCAAAATCACAATTCAATACCTAATAATCTTCTCTTTGCCACATGATGGGGCTACTAAGGAAAGCCAAATAATGTGCAAATATAACTTTTCCACTGTATCCCACAGCCTGTTTTATGGTGAGACTTCACAGTACTGGTAGATATACATGTACATGTAGATCTTTAAGTATCAAATGCTAAAGAGACAAAAAAGAAAAAAATGTGATAAACTTACTTTTCAGTGAGATTGTTCTTAAGGATATGAAACCTTTCATCAGTAATTGTTGCTTGCACTGTTCCTCCACCATAATAACACTTTTGTAGTAAATATGAACTACTATTCTTTAAAATAAGAGCACCTAAACCAGTAGGAAAACCAAACATCTTGTAGAAAGAAATGGGAATATAATCTGCTGGACAAGATGCTAAGTCCAATGGAGAAGTGCTCACAAATGAAGATGCATCCAAAAGAACAAACCAATGGCACCAATGGCACCAATGACTCTTTTTGACTAACAATCCCTGTTTAACTTGAGAAATCCATTTAAGAGAATACTTCTTCCCTGAGAAATTACACATTGCAGGGAAAGCAAATAAATTGTGGCAACAGTCAACAGTCTCTCTGACACCATTGCTCCCAGAATCAAATGGTTTTAGATCTGAATCCTCCCTTTTCTCTTCTGTTGTAAAGATGATTTGTTCTTCCAAGTCTTTTTCATTAACAGAACTAATTTGGGCCCCTCTTGAAGCAGCTATTTCTCTCATACCAACCACTGATGTGTGATTCTCTTGCAGATAACAAAAATGACTTTGATGAGCACTTCCTTCACTGGTGGCTCCCTTCCAATCAAAGCTTTCAGCCAAAAGTTTCAATGCAGCAGTAGCACCAGAAGTGAAAATCACAGTGTGTTGTTCTGAAGATGTATTAAAATGTTTTAAAATCCTTGTGCGGACTTGGTCAATGACATCACTTGACAGCTGACTGCTTGGGTTCCTACTGTGTGGATTTCCATACACATTGTAACTCAAGTCACTGTAAACATTTGCAATAACACTCTGTGGATACTGTGTTGTCCCAGCATGATCAAGATATGTAATACCTACGGTATATGAATTATGTTCTAATTAATTCATTCAAATAATAATAAAATAACTTCATGTTCTCCTCAACACCAAGCATAAGAATATTTTTTAAAACAGCCCAAGGGGAGAATGTATCCACCAGGGGTAGTATATAGAGAATCCTATAGGAGGTGTGTCTTGAGATACAACGACATTTCCTAACTACTTTTAAAGAACAATATCTTAGGCTAATAGACATGAGTGATTCAGGGATCTTAGACAGGTGTCTTATTACACACCTATCTCCCCACAGCAGCCACCTCTCAACAATGACCCCCAAGGGTCATTGTGGAGAGGTTTGACTGTGGAATAATTACCCAATAGAGAAACTTATAAAGAACCAATCAGATCCTACATAGAAATCACCATATTACACATATTGTAAGGTAAATATATATTGGGCGCTGCGCCACATTGATTGTCATAAATTGTGCAAGGGGTCAATGGGCGCTCTATGTTACGCAACACCATGATTCCACGAAAGCCTTCTTTGATAATGTTCAGTTTCGTTCGTCCCTGATAACTGGATACCACGATGTGCGTTCAGTTGAATTTGGTGAAGTAATGAACATGAAATAACCGTAAAACTTATGTTACAGGGTATTAAACAGCAATTGCATTCCTATGAATTAACTCCATAATTTGATGGCCCGCAAACAGTCACATAATTATAAGTAAAGTATCCCTACCTTCCAGTCGTTTAAATTCTTGTTTTCTTATTTGATCAATTTTATTTCCATATCCATACTGTTTCCCGAAGAGATTTATAAAGTCATCTTCCTCAGCCTCTTTGTTCAGCATTGTATGTCACCGATCTTTCCGGGTAATGTCTGTACCTTTCGGCCGAATAGCACTTTTGCACGGTACCTCTGTTTTTGATGACGACTGGTGTACCCAGATAGTCTACGGTGCTAATTTGTCAGCGGTAGTAAGCAATGCACAGATTAATATGTAGTGTAACAGCTATTTAGTGGTCCATCTTACTCTTCCTTCTGAAGACTTGATAACAGACTTCTTACAGGACACTGTGTGTAATCATACATACGATATGTGGTGAAGCGTCATGATGGCTTCCAGAAAGGTTGATCTACGTTTAGTCAAGAGGAAGAGGGAAGCAAAAACATCAATTGATTCCCCGCTGGCCAGGTATTATTTCTGGAACTTACAATCTTTGGAAGCACGATTATCTTTGGGTTAGAGGTTCGCTATACGTTCCCTTTCGTTCACCAGATACAATAGTGCTGGCCAGCTGTCTTGTGTGGTATGTGACATGACCATAAAGAACGAATTTCTGTGGACCTCACATGTCCTTGGTAAAAAGCACAAAGAGGTAAATTAAAAGGTGACCATCAACTGTAGAAAGTGATAGTGCATAACATTTCATTTAATTATTGTCAGGTCTTAGGTTCCATGCCCAACTTTTAACCAATTATTTTTTCCATCTGGCAGAACTTGGCAGACCTTAAAGGAAAGTCTAAAGCAAATGTATCAGTTCGAGAGGTGCGAAAGCCAGTTAAAGTAAGTGGCAAGGTAGGTGAGCAATCCCAAACAGAAAGGGTATGGTTTAGCGAACCATATGCACATGCACAGCAGAGGCTGGGTTGTAATTGAATGTGAAATCCAGTCGCAGATCTTTTGTATTTAGCTGAATAGAGGCATTGAGAGGTGAAAGTCAGTTTTCCAGGCTTAAATCCTCAGTGTAAAGTTCTGTTGGCACTGATTTGAGCACATACATAGCTCATTGAGAAAGTAATTGTTGACAAAGATGAAGGGTAAGATGTCTTTAAACACAATTGTTGGAGGAAAGGCCATTGGCTGTCAACTGAATCTTGTTTTAGAATGCAAATGGTTAAAAAAGCTATCTTCTTGAAATATACTTTCTGGAAAGGTTTAAGCAGGGTAACTTTGATTACGGCTGTTAATGCCAATGTGAAAACTGACAATATCTAGTCCTACCTGTAAATGTGCAAGTTAAGCATGAGCCAAATAAATATCTGATATTGTGAAGTCTCACTAATCAGGTTATAAGTAGTGGACTTAGAACATTTGACTGACATCAACTATTCACTTGGTGAATGTTTCGTTTTGTCCAAAGTCTAATTGTTCAATCTGTAATGTTTACAGATTTTTGTAGGTGGTAAGTGCAAGTGCCATTGTGCTAACTACATGGTGCATGCACATTCCTGAGTGTTTTTGCATATTGCATGTGCAAGACACTTGATTCTGATGATGACTACCTCTAAGGTTGTTGAAATGTCAGTCACCACCAGTGACAACAGTCCTTCTCAGGACTACACACACCTGGTCAATCAGACTACACTATCACATGTTATCCCAGGGTTCAAACCATTTACTCTGGTGTAGAAATACAACATGCCAAACATTGGTTGACTCCAAATTTCTCTCAGACTGGTAAAATATCCTTCCCCTATAACTTGGGTCTGAAGTAGAAAGTAAAAAAGTGAAATGGAAATCACCATGTTAAGTTCCTGGTGTCCTGGTTCTAACAAAACCATGCACAGCTACAAGGATTCCCAAATCCTGTAATCCAGACTAAATTATGATTATATGGTGTAATTTGATTAATTGCTTTTGATAGTTGCTGACATCCTCAAAGAGCAATGTGTTGCAATTTTTCCCAATTGATAATTTGGTTGGTCACCAAGAAATCAAAGGTCACTATAACAGTACAGCTCAAAGCTCAGATTGTCCAGATATCACCAATGGGTTGCAATGAAGGCAACAGTGCAGGGTAAAGACAGTATGCCTGGCATGTGCCCAGATGAGAATGTCATAACAAACCTCTGCACAGCTTTTTTCAGCCTCTCATGCAGGTGTTTGTAGGGGATTGTGTTTCATTGTTTTCCATTGTTTTGTGGGAAGAAGTGAAATGCAATCCTCTCAAAATGGCTGCATTCAAAGCTTGGCTTTTTTTAACTTTCATGTAGATCACATAGATCAAACCAGACTTCCCTGTTCTCAGTTCATTTAGGTTATTATTTGCTGAACCCTGCCCCTCAAAATTGTCAATTCCTATGTCTTGTTCATGAAAACAATACCACATCTAACCCCCTAGTTACTTTAAGTTCCTGGATCCTGGCCTTCAAATAAATCTGATCCTGGATTCCAATGGGGACCCTCAGCTATCATGTTGACAATGATTTTTATGTATAAGTTAGTTGTTTCCTGTGTGTTTTAAGAAATTACTGAACAATTTTGTTCTACCTTTAATGTTTCCTTTAATTTGTGATTCTCTCTAATTAAGGAATATTACGTTTATGAACAAATTAATCAACAGGTTGAAACAAATGAAGAAGCACCAGAAAAAAAATTAAAAGGTCAGTTCATTAAAATTTTTCGTAGAATCGCCTTTGTTATTTTGTCAGTGTTATTCTTTGTTAAGAAGACTTTCATTCATTGATAGACTTTAAGCTTTCTTAGCAAACAATTTTTTGTTATCTTACATGTAGATCTTTCAAGTCATCAATCATATGCCTGTGTTTTGCAAAATACAACATATTAACCATGTTACCACTGATACAGACCATACAGTGTAACTGTTGTGCAAAGTAATTGTTACACCACTCATTTTATTTAAATTTATTAATTTTAGGATGTAGGCTATATATTATTATAACATGTTTATTTCATATTTTGAACATCCACAGTTGATAACAGTAGTGACACGAACAGGTATATCTTGATGGCTGTATCATTACTAACAGTACAATACTTTTCTGCTCAAATGTTTTTTTTTTTCTGTGTTAAAGTGTCATTTTCATTAAAAAATTCTGGGAGGTTCCATGGCCATTATATAATCTGGCCAACCATAAGTCAATTTTGAATCAAAAGAGGTGACACTGATTATGGCAATATTAGAACCAATTTATGAATATACAAACATATTGCTATTGAATGGGTCAACCTAAATGTAATATACTAAATATAATAATACCAGGAAAGGCAGTCATATTGTGGGGCATTAGTGTTAAAATTCTCATCTTGCTCTTTGCCACAATTTTAAGGTGCAGTTTTTATGCATCTGTGGAAGGCTTTTCTCTGAGAAAATCAGCAATTAATTAAAAAACATGTGAACACAACAACTTTTGAAAACTTGTTACAGACTGTAGTCTTAATTTTTTTGCAAAACACTAACTACATTTGACAGTAATGCTGGTATTATCTCAGCTTTACAGACAGTTTAGAAGAGATAAAAGATGAGATTTCCACAGATGAACAGGCAGGTTTACCTTCGGGTAAGAAATTGTTTCCAGCTCACTTGTAATTGTCTTTGTGCTGAATAAGTTTTTTTTGTAACCAGCCAGATAATACTTTAGGAACTTAAGTTTTCCTCAGCTGGAGCAGAAGGCTCGATTCTGATAGAGAACTTAACATCACAAGTGTTAGAGTTTGGTGCTGGTTCTCGTTTTGAATCTCTGATGACAGATTTGAAGAGCTGTCCTAGTGATGCTTGAAAACAAGGTGGTCTTAGAGCTGGTTTCACTATGCTTGCATATATTAGTGTAATGCTCTGATGATATGTGGGGTTTAAGGAATGATTTACCTTTATTTTCTTTCTGTTTTTATTTCAGACTTCTTTGATCATGAAATCAAGTCTGAAATGCAACAGCATATTGCCAGGTATTCAATGATTATTTTATTAATAACATGTATAATACATCATGTAAACCATAAAGCTGTTTTTAAATGTTACATATAGTCATTTCAAGTCCATTTTTCCTTAAAAAAAGGTAGCATAGTACAGATGTTAGTTTGGAATTAAGTGACAAATTAAGTAAAACATAGCTGAAAATTTCCATAAAATGTATCATGCTGTTTATGTACTAACATTATGTATTTTTGTCATTTGGTAATTAATTTTGTCACTGATCACCTGTCTCATGGAAAATTTTTTTCATAAAATCATGAAAGTGGAGATTCCACAGAGGGCATTCCGGAAGGATTTTTTGATGATCCAAAACTAGATGCAAAGGTTTGGAAGTCATCCAATTCATGTTGTGTCTAAATTGTAAGTTTAGTTTCCCTCCTATCTTGAAAAGCTTCATACATGTAAGTTTTTTTTTACTTCTCTCTTTATTTTAATCTCTGAGAATTGAGGTTGTGTGCTTACAGTACACACTGTAACTTTCAAGATGAGGTCATTTGCAGCAGAATGCTTATGAGTAACAAACAGTCACACAGTTAGTTTATCAGTGCGGTGCTAGTATTTATGAATAAATATAGATTCTTTCTGATAAAATGTGGAATTTACCTGTCATTGTTTTTGTTGCATTTAACTTTTCTTTGGGAACTTGTTGCTGTACACGAAGGTCCGAAAAGTAGAGTACAAAGATCAGGCTGAGGAGCAATGGGAAAAGTTCCAGAAAGAAATGCAAGTAGAAAACCAGGTGGGGGAAAAGTTATACATTAAAACAAATTGGATTGTTTAGTGAAGCCTTTTTGTTGCTCTGCTTTCCATGTTTATTTTATTCTTGTTCTACAGAGTGATACCATGATATATTTTGTCCATTCTGTTTGCTTGATCTTTATTAAGAGCTTTACATTATAGTTAAGAAGAATTCAGTGTTGTTTTAAGTTTGATTGTATGTTACTTTTTATCTAATCAAATTAAATATCATATATCTTACCATACATGAAGAAGTAACTCGTGTCTAGGTTTGAGTGGCATTTTCGGTAGGAAATGCTTTTTGATGAGGTGACATCAACAGGTCTTTTAAAAAAAAGCTCATTAATGGTAAATAACTTCATAGCTTGAAATAATTACAAAAATACCTAAACTATGTAAAACTTTGGAATACTCTATAAACGTAGCAACTGAAACGTGTGTGATATTGTAAACTGCTCAAACATGGTGTGATGAATACTTTGTGCTATAGTCACAGTTAAATATTTTCCTATCTTTGAATATGGTCCAGTGGGGACTCACAGAGGTTATCCATAGTCCTTGACCCTCAGCCATCAGATGGGAGCTGGGAAGGTAAGCCAAGGGGACTTACATGTAACTTAAAGGTTGTTGTTCCTTAGTATCTTTTGGTTGTTTTTGTCAGGTGTCACAGTCCATTGTTGAAGGAGAAGATGAGGAGTCCAGAGTTAATAGGGAATTATCAGAACTCAGTGAACAGAGGTAGTGAATAATTGTGATGATGATGATAGTAATAATTATAAATTAAAGTAATGATGATGGCAATGTTGGTGGTCATGATAAACATAGTGTTATTTATAAGAATGGTGATAACAAAGTGTTGAACGGTGATGGTATTGAATGATGACTGACTACCTTGATTGGCTTTTCTCATTCCATATTGAACAAGCCATGGAACAAATATTTCAGATTGCTGGTAATTCACTACTTAAAAGTGAACTGTATGAAATTTGAACATGTTGACATTGAGCAAAATTACATCCATACACATGTAAGAATAATACAGAGAAATGGGTTAAAAAATGTGTGGAAAATTCCTTAAATTTATTTCAAAACTCTTTGAACATGTGCTTGATATACTGAATGATCACTGGTACCAGTGGATGATTGCATATGTTTACTGTTATGGTTGCATCAAGTTTACCATTTTGAATAAGAAACTTGTCTGATCTGTGTGCATTTGACATGGTGTATCAAATAGCTGGAAACTCTATGATACCCTCCTACACTTACCGGTACCTTACCATTAGTGATAAACTAAAGAACTGAATATCTGGAGGCTATGTACATGTGGAATTATTATACACATCAATGCCAGAATTGGAATATGATAATTTTGATTTGAAATCACCTCAAGCTCTGTAGAACTTCAGTTATTAGGAGGCATTTCTTGATTTTGATACCCATGTAGATGGCAAAAGTTTGAATACTTGTCGGTTCCTTAACCTTAAGTTTAACACAGATACAAGAACAATTTTGAAGTTTAACAAACCTTAGGGTATTGATAATGATTGTTTTTAAGTCCCTCTAATGATAGCTTTACTAGGACAAAATTAAATTTCTTTTAAATAACATGTGCACTGTTTGTTTTTTACCAGTTTATTAGTGACAGTGAACCTTACTTATTTTGGTTGTTGCTAAGTATTTGGGTTTTTAGTCATAGTAGTCTTTATTTGAATGCTTGTCTTAAATGAACCTTAGTCTCTTAAAGTCAAACAATTGGTGAAACTCTTTTCATTATTCTTTAGTAAAGGTTAATGGAATACCCTGAACATTGATTAAAACTTTCAGTTAGCATCAATTGCTTAGATGAGGTCATGATAATTGGATATGATGAAGTCCTGACAACTGGATATGACCTGATTATTTTTTCATGTTTGCTTGGCAGACCTTGTAAATCACTAACAACAGTTGAGGGACTTACAAACTTTTCTCTTGCTCTCCTAAACATCTACAGTGGGTTTTTATGCCAGTAATAAATGGATAGTAGTTTTTTCTGCCACTTAGATTTTAATTTCCTGGAATATAAGGAGAAAATTAAAGGGTAAAAATGATTTTGCTTTTATTTTCATCCATTATGAGGTTGTATTGTTCTTTTTTACTGTCATCAGAGTCTACTTTCTGAGAGCTGATGCCTTGCGGGATAAACAGAGTTCTTTAAAGGACAAATTCTCTAATCTGAAAAGTATTCAGCCACAGCCACAAAGAGAAACTACCAGTGATAGTGATGATAGCGACTTTGATGAATTTCTTGACTGGAGAGCAAAGAAAGTCTCCTGATGAACAACTGATTCATTCTGCACTAGGTGTTGCAATGTGTCTAGAAGTTTGACTCAGAACTCAGCTTTCTGCTGCACAGTCAGGCCACTTTGTTGGTAAAGTGATGCAAGATGTGTTGCTAATGTCTGCAAGAGCTGTAAGGTTACATGTATGTGAAGGGAAGGTGATAGTTCATTGACATGAATGTACATCACAAATAACACTGAAGGAAAAAAATCTGCTTATTTGGGTGTGTTGGATGAGATTTGGGGAGAGCAACTGAGCAAGGCATGGAAAAAAGAAAAACTGCCTGGAACACAGGCTCTCAAAGCTGTTTGGGATGGTTAATAGTATGATGTCTTATTTTCATTGAAAATATTTAGCAAAGGACAACTTCAGGGGAAAAAAATAAAACAAGTAGCTCCCTGCATTGAAAAACAGCAACAATTTTTTCAGTGAGTGGTTTTAAAAGTAGAAGTAACACTTGACTATGTAGTCTGTTCTTATTTTGGGAAAAGAAGTTCTGTGAAGAGCCATTGTTGTCAGGAGTAACTGACATTCAACATCTGTGCACAAGTCTTCAGTATCAAGTGAGCGTGTTTTTTGTGAGCCAAGTGTTATAGATCTGCTTTGTTGAAACTTATTGATTGCTTGTCAGACCCAAAAAGTGCAAGTCTGTTGTGATTGGTCAGTTTTTATCTTTAGTAAAGCTGGGCTGTTCTGTTCTTTTCTTGTAGCGTTATTTCCAGCCATGTACTTATTACTCAATTTTGCTCTGTCAGTCCAGGCAAGAGTCAACAACCATTAGGGATTGACAAGAAATGGTTGTCACTGTTGTTGAATACCTGGATGATCAGACTATATAATCACCCAGCTTACCTTCATTCAATCATTACAACTGGTATTGTTCCTCCAAAAGTGTGACTACACTTTTTACTGCAGTGTGCCAAACCGTGGGTAAATTGTCAGATACAGTTGGTGCAGATAAAGTTATGACAGACTTCAGAATAGAAGTTGGACTTCACAAACTATCTTTCAAAAGAAGAGAAATGATAATATGCATAAGTTCCATAAAGTTTGGCTTTTGTGTCACAAAATTTCTTGTTTCTTTTATACCTCTCAGTTTTCTTGATGAGTATTATTGTTTGTTTGTTAGGTTGAGAAGTACTCACAACATTTTTATAATTTTGTTTCTGAAATCAGAAGGCTGACCATAGTTCATTCTTTAATCAGATGACCTTAATACCCATAATCAACAGCTTTCAAGAAATACTTAAATCCAAAAACAATCACATCATTCATATTTGGACTTGAGACAAAAAGTTGTGTCAAGAGGACTTCTGCATAAAGAAGCCTTGATATAATTCACAATCAACTGTGGTCACAACTGACTTCTATTTGAACCTTCTGCCATTGTCCATGATGGGGTGGGTTTGTCCACTATTCCAGTAGAGAGTGGGGGTGTATGACAGGAGTCTTTGGACCTGATCCTGTTTATGATAATTTTTTCCTCATTTTGTTTAGGAAACACAAATGTTCTGAATTGATGCATTAGAACCTATGGATCCAACTCAAGCATATTCAGAACAAATACAAATAAATTTTGACTTTGTAATATGGACTGGGGTTTAAAACAGGCTGCATACTGCAGATTGGGTTTTAAATAAGGACTATGGTAAATTTGACAAACACAAACAGCAATACAAATTGTAAACACTTGTAGGTAGTGAAGCTTGTGCACTAATTTAGCCAGGTTTTTTGGTAGACTCACTGAACCACTCTGAAGCCAGTGAACAATATTCTCTTGAAGACATTGCTGAGTGACTGATAACATCATTGGCTAATAAGTCTGATAAGAATGGTCTGGAATGTGTAAGAATACTTAACATAGACTTGAGTCTAATATAAATGATTTCAACACTAGAATGATGAGACTTTTAATCACCGAGAGGAACTGTTATCTTTATTAAAGAAATTGAAGATCTCTGCTATGACACTCTTACCAAAATCAGAGAATATTTTAAAATATGCTATATATCTCATTGAAAAATTGAACTCATCATGACTACCTACTGTTACAGTATGGAAGCTTGCAAATCACTCAATTTTATTTCAAAATTGATGCTTAAAGCATGCAATGAGTAAATCAAGGAAGTAATGAACATCAATGCTTGGGGCAAATGATGACAGGTACATGTGCATGATGAAGGACATAATCACTGACACTTCCTACAAAGGTGCGTCTTATGGCACCCATTCCACGGCTTCCCATGATGACAAGATCAATGCCACGTTCCTTAATTATGGAGCAAATAGCCTCACCAGGTTTACCACCACAGAGCTTAACCTCAAATCCAACCTTAAAAAGGTAAAAAATAAGTAAAACGAAGATTCAGTAAAATTAAAACAAATTAATGGATACATCTCTTCTTCAAGCTGATGATTGACTATGTAAGGGGTGCATGTCTACAACATCAAGCTAATTTTATCTTACAAGATCACATGATTTTTTTGCACAGCTTAATGGGTAAAGCAAATTTTGGTAAGAAAAAAAGAGTAGACCAATGAGACATGGTAACTTCATAGTTGTTCATCAAAGTGGAAGTCAAATTACCCCAACCACATGGAGGAAATCATAAAATTGTCAAATGTGCCTGTTTTCTAGTAGTCCATAAACTATGATCTATACTCAAAGGGTTCATTGTCTTTTACTTTCATGGGTAGGATGTCTTCAGTTCTGTTGATAAGAGAGTGCTTAGTGTGCAGTTTTCTGCAGCACAGATTTGTGGAGAATTCATGGAGAGAATACAGGACATTTTGAACAAAAGACTTTTTGCACAAGTCTTCACACAAGTTTTGGACCATTTGCACAATTCTTCATAGTCATTCACACAATAATTGTAAGTAAGAAACATCAGTAGAAGAGGTATTCGAATAGGGAGTTCTTTAAATTTTCATGGAGAGAAAGACTTGTACCTTTCCTTTCTTCAAGTAAGAATAGTGATCGTGTTCTCAAGTGTTTCGATCTAGTTGAAGTTATTATGTAAGTAAATATTGATGTTATTGCCATTGGATCCTATTGAAAGTGACATGTGAAGGTGAAATATCTTATCAGTATCAATCAGTATCCCTTTTATAGTGATATTTCTCACTTATAATTATTTACAAAAGATAAAGCTAGGAATTCCCAGAGACCTAACATGGGTAAACAAGACATACAAGGTAAAACAAAAGTATATTGCCTCTATTGATTTAGGGCCAGAAAAAGGCTAAAAGATTGTTTTTGTGTCCAACATACCTCTGCTTTAGTCAACTTTGTGTTGTATTTTTCTTCAATTTCTTTCACTTTCTCTGTGTGATCTTTGACACGTTGTTCCCAGTCTTCTTTTGTAATCGTTTCTGATGAAACAGACTTGTTAACAATCAATGTAATGAAGCATAGACATGTAAAAACTTTGCAAATCTGACATTTAGGGCTGCACACACTTGGCGGGTTAGCTTTTTGCTGACTGGCTTACTTTAACCGGTCCAACCCTACACACATCAGCTTTTGCTTTCATGGTTTCCTGTGGGATGTGGTATGGTATTTCTATGTGTGCTCAGGGCCTCATGGGTCAAATGATTATACATTCATGGATGGTTTTCAAACTTGTTAAGTTCAAGTTTTAACAAGAACATGTGATATCTTGAGCATGTACCATAATCAATAATCAATGACAGTAACTAACTAAAGTGATAACCATAACTTACCAATGGAGCCAGAATGAGTCATTTCACTCACATGGATGATAACAACAACATCATTGGCTTGCTTCATGTTTTTTAAATACCCTGATGAAAAATTAATTATTTATTATTATTACATGGCTTAGACTTGTTGCTGATAAAATGCATGCACTGATTGGCAAAGAGTGATATCAGAGCAGAGCATTATACAACAGTAATGACTACAAGCTGATTATGGATTAAGCAATTAAGAAAGAGCACAAAGTGTCAGATAATTCAAGCGGTGGGTCTTTTCATTTTTTGGAAATTCAAATGCATGAAAACAATGAAGGCTGATTAACAACCAGAGAGAGTAGACTCAATTTAATACAAAAGGCTGAAGTTGTAAAGGATTTGCCAAGGTTCATTTTAAATTACTCATGAGATTGTGTTGTAAGGGACAAGGAAAAAAAACGAGTATACATTCAAACTCATATCTAATTAAAACAAATAGTTTCACTTGCTATTAAACAACTATGTTTAAATCAGCTTCCAAGAACAACTGATGTAAACAATCAAGTGGTTTTGTTGGCAGCAATATTTCTGATTACTACATGTAGTTTTAGATGTTGGAAAGGCTTGTAAAGTTCAGTTTAACCATAAATCTCTCAGACATTTTGCCTTGAAAATCTGACAAAATTTCTCTCATTAAGTTGTGAGGCCACTATAGAAATACTTTTTTAAGGCTCTCAGAATCATTTTTCCTGAAAATGAAATTTATATGTTTCTTGGCGAAATAAGTGATACAGTGGTGTAGTTCACTGACTGCATAGTTTACTGTGGGTTTGAGGCGATGAAGGAATTGATAAAGGTGCATATCAAATTGACAACTTCTGCTTGAATAAATTTTTCATTTTATTAGTTGGTAAGCCATGTGATAAACAACTCAACAACCTAGCCCATTAGGACATTAGGGGAAAATCCCAAACCTTGGCATAACCATATTGACCCTGCAATAAGGCCTCAGTGATATTCCAGTAAGACATCACTCTCAGTTATTAAGTGGATAATAATGAAGTATGTCTGATCAAAGTAAAAAAATAAATAAATTCTCCTTTTGAGACATAAGGCATTAAAATTATTTATGGTACTGAGTAATAAGATAATGTTCAAATGTGGTGGGGTTAAACTTTTAACATTTGATGGGGGAAAAAATTAAGGGCAAGGTAGAAGGAGACAAACTTTTAAATGAGCAAAATTGTTCCCTTGTAGTTTTGGCTCCACTTTAAACTTGGGAACTCCTTTGATCTAATCCTGATTTGTTTTGATTTAGGAGCCTTTTCTTAAATAAATGCTACATACCATGGAAATTATAACAACATCCTTCTGTAACAACCCCCATTGTATTGCATGGTCAACACTTGATGTTTTCTTGCGAGACAAAAACTGAATTGCATTGAACAGAGTGATTCTAAGGGACAGAGCCAGTCCCATGACTAAATTATTGTTACTTTTCTTAAAATTTTGTTTTTATTTGCAAATTAGGTTATCTCAAGTAAATCGTGTCCACTCTAATCAGAGATGTCAAAGTAAAAGTTCACAGATATTCCTACAACTTCTCAAGCCTTGACCAAGAAAAGCATCCAAAACAGATTACTGATAATAAGTACAAAACTTCTCATACATGATCCTTTGACAGCCAACTTCTTGTTATCCTAACACTTGATTAACATATACATTGATATGCAGTGACACATACAAATACGTGAGCCAAATCAGGTGTTCCACCAATTCAACATTCAGGTAAGTTTTTGGTGTATAAAGAACTTGAAAATTTGTATCCAAAGAAGAATAAATGTATCTCAGTATTTCGGAGTTATAGGTTTCGATTAATTTGATCAAGACTTCTACGGCCTCTACGTATCCAAGTTCCAGGTGACTAGTTCTTCATAAAAAGGTTAGGCGCTTTCATGTAAAATTCAAAATAGCTCTGCTCTTAATGATAATTGATCGCTTGAGTCACTTGCTCTCCGAAACTAATTCACTTTTTTCTTAGCTTAATTAGACAATGAGGATTCTTAGGCTTCAAATTTGCATTTTACGGGCTCTTTGCTATTTGGGATGTGTGAAGAGGAAAGTGAGTACAACGAAGAACCTGCGAAAAAAACCTACACTTCCCAGCCATGATCAACCATCAAAAAACAATTAACCATGATGTTTGTTTGCAAGGAAGTCAGATTCGAAGAAAATTACATCGACAGTAAAACACGAAGAACGATTTTGTGGTCAGCGACAATGGCGTGATGCATAATTCAGTGAAAAGTTCTCGTTCAAAATCGAACGTCAAAACAACATCAAATGTTACACCACACTTTCATCTTAAACTACTTACAGTCACAAGCTTTTTCACTGTGGTCACTTGCATCCACAGGAATACCGATTATCCTTTCAGGATTTGCCATGTCACAACGAAGACGTATCGCAAGGTCAGTCTCATGTAAGGGGTCAGATGAAGATTAATTGAGGGTGGGCTGAATGAGGGCTTGGCAGTCGTAGCCTCGTCCTTGTGCTGAGGCCAGCAACACTGCTTGGGGGAACGATGGAACCAGAGCGACGGGACCCCTCTCCACCTCTATCCACCTCTATCCATGCACCTTTCCCCACTCTGATAGAACCCCTCGCCGCCCTCAATGCCAACTTTCAGTGTTAGGCTAGGAACAGAACCTCTCTTGAGGAAAAGGGTTTTATTCCTATCTCGAAAATTATTAGGCTTGGCTAAATCTATATATTAGTTTCATATGAGACTTGAATGTGCTCTATATTTTGAAAACGGTGGCGTAGGTACTCACAGATTGTGAATTGAGAACGTTGCCCTGGAAGAGTAAGCTCGACTGTCTATCGCATCCTCTCGCATTCTGTTTTAGTAAAACAAGTACCAAGAAGTAAGCAGGATAGAGGGAGGCGTGGGTACAACTGGTAGCAGATCCTAACCACTGATAAAGTGCTGTTGAATAGCTTAGGGTTCGTGCTTTCTTTTTACAGTTGTGGCAGCTAACGGTTGGTATGTCATCTTTCCATTGAAGAACTATATACAAGGGTGAAGTAAAACAGTTTTACCTGTCATTGCTATTTCTGTTTAATACTTGCCTCCGGAGAGCTCGCAGTGTACAGAAAATTTTTAAAGTGTAATCAAATTCTAACCAAGTCATAGTGTATAATATTCCTCTAGAAATTTAGCAATTCTGTCAATTCAATTGGTCCACAGTCGCTGCAGACTCCAGAAAGACACCTTTCCATGAAAATTCTTAGATCTAAACACAGTTAAAGCTAGGGAATAAAATTCTGTCGACCAACCTTCGGTCTTGGTTTCGTCATAACTCTGAGCCTGATGAGCAGGTCGCCCAGGCCAAACACACCTTATCAAGGCTTTATTCGCTGACGATGCTAAGTGCTTCCGTGTTATAAGATCTCACACTTACTGTGCTTTGTTACAAGACGACATCAACAAGCTGATTGATTGAAGTGACAACTGCAAACTAGCCCTCAATATTAACAAATGTTCACTCTACACTGTAACAAAGAAGCGCACCCCCATAATTTGTAACTACAAAATGGGAGCGAAGACTCTTAGCAGGATGAGAGCCCAGCGTGATCTTGGGGTACTTATGTCAGATACAGCCAGCTTCAGCGATCACATCCACGCCCAGGTGAACAAGGCTAACAAAATGCAAGGTTTCATATGTCGCTCAATTTGCGGGAGCAAAACTTTACTACCAACTCTGAGGTCCCTCTATGTGGCTCTTGTATGTCCTCGCCTTAGGTACGCCTCTGAAATTTAGAGCCCAAATCCAGTTACTATGATAAAAAGAATAGAAGGGGTGCAACGACGTGCGACTCGGCTTATGTTACCTGATTTTAGCTACAATTAGCGCCTAAAACGTCTCAACCTGCTACCACTGGTTTTGCACAGAGAAGTTAAGGACCTCACAACCTTTTACAAACTGAAGTGTGGGCATTTTAACTTTTCATTTGATTCGTATTTTCAATTTTGTTCAGATGAGAGGTTAAGATCATACTCTAGTAATAAACTGAAAATTAATAGAATTGGGACGGAACTTTTTAAGGGAACATTTTTTAACAGGATTACGTATCTATGGAACAATTTACCAGATGAGCTGAGGACTGCCAATTTTAGTGTTTCTTCTTATAAGAGACTATGCACTACCTTCTATAAAGATAAGGCCTTTGACCCTGAGCGCCCTTATACCACTTGGGCAAAAATCAGCAGTTAGTAAGGTTGCTAGTGAGTTAGTATTTTTACAACAGCTTAGATTTTATTAATCAATTGATACTGTAATTAATAATACTACTATTATTATTATTATTGTTGTTGTTGTTATTATCTTAAGGGTTGCTAGTTAGTAAGTTAGTCTCTTCTAGTGGGTTGACTAGCACGCATGGTTTGTCAGTTCCCTTCTAGTCTACCACACTGCTTTGTTGTGGACTTAGAATTTTATTAATTGATATAGTAATTATAAATACTATTATTATTATTATTATTAATATTGTCATTATTATTATTATTATCATTTTATCATGTGACAATGTAATTGCAGTGAAAATGGAATAAATATTAATAACCGTTTTCCTTAACTCATTTAAATTCGCATTACAATCGTTGCTCATTGACAGACCAAAATTAAATCGAGAAAGAACTAATCACTTTGTCTAAATTGGTAAATGTCAATGGGAATGTAAGTATATGGTCCTACGTGCGTATCTGTTTCGGATCACCGAACGAGTACAAAGGATATGAATTAATTTCAGCTCTCTTGTCGGCTTCAGATTTATTGTTAAAATCAAAGAGCGAAATCAATTTCCTTAGCAACATGAATGATATGTTTCCTGTAACAAGATTTGCCTGGCGACATCCCTGAAACCCTTACCGGACTAAGGTCTGTGGTCGCTATCGCACTGTAGATTAATGGCGACGCTTAAGATTACAAAGAATGTTTGTTTGGAGGGTTTCAATGGGGTGCTAGCTTTCACGGCTGACCGCCAAAAGTTCGTCATTTTACTGACAGCCAACTACTTTGGCATTTTACGGCTAACGGTTAACCCCATTGAGATCCTCTGTTTGTAGTACAATAAACCCATGAGTGGTTTAGTGTTTTCTTTGTTTTGACTGTCTTCTGTCGCCTTTTGTGACTGTATCACCAACATTGTCAAAAAATTCACGAATTTAGTGAGTCCGGTCGACGAAATCTTTTTCTTTCACGGGATCAATGCGAGTTATCTTAAGCAGGAAAGATGGGCACGGGTAGCCAGTCAGAACACAGGATTCGCTTCATATTGCCCACGGGTGCTGGCGGCTGTGTAATAAATAGGGATAAACAGTTTTAACACAAGAGGTTGAGGAGACCGTAGATTTTATTGATTTCCACACATATTTACATATTTACAGTCTTTTACCATACAATAACCAAAAACGCCCCCAAAACGAATAAGTTTTTATTTCCCATCAAGGACCTATGTGCAAATGCTAGCGTTCAAAGATACAACTTTTTTTAGTTTCTTCCATGTCTTTCACTCTAGTGGCAAGTATTTTGTCATAGGATGACTATTATTTGTGAATAAGAGTGTTTTATTTTTGTCACAGGGTGGCCAAAACTCGCGAATACGACACAAGAAAGCCAAGGAAACCTTGTCCAGCACCCCAGAGAAAGGCTGCGTACCTTGGCATGGTGAAATGAGCTGTTCGATATACTGCCCCAATTGTGGCACCTGAAGCAAAAGACAAGGAAAAAAAAGGAATCACTAAAAAACACAATCTCCTGGCTTGAAGAGAAATAATAAATATACGTCTGTGTAAGAAAGAGTTGATGTGTACTTACTAAAAAGTATCAAGGCCAACAAGGTAAGCCATAAAGCAGTTTTCAACTCGTGACTATTGGTGGAAAACTTAAAGAAACCACAATATTTTATATCAAATGAATAAAGGGGTAAGTTTCTAAAGAAACTGTGGTGCTGCATCGGTGGGAGAGTATAGTAGGTAATTTAGTGTTAACAACTGAGTTGAAAACGTAAATTGGCCACCCGAAAGGGTAAAAATCTGACGTTTCGAGCGTTAGCCCTTCGTCAGAGCGATTATCAAACTTGTTTCAATTCTCTGTTCCACAAACTTGATATAAAGTTTATATTCTGGAGTTTTAATAACATCACTTAAAGTGAGAACCAGATGGATCAGATTAAAAATGGTAATAGGACTAAGTGGAGTCCAATTCGGTCAGTAATCATACGAGTGATAAACAAAATCAGACAACCGCAAAGCGGGATTCCGATTTGTTTATCACGAGTATGATTAAAAACAGAATTGGACGACAAGAAATCCTGTTACCAATTAATCATAACCATTTCAATTTCCGAAAAAACAAATACACCTAGAACAAATATCTCCAGTGGAGACCATATCTTCAGTTCAATATTCCTCCATTTTGGAAATTGCCTTGTTTTTCTTTGGATAAGTGGTTGTTGCTATGGTTATTGTGATCAATTCTGTGATTGGTGGATTTAGCTGAGTGGACCTAGTATGATTGGCTGCTTCAACTGTCTGATTACAGGTGTCTGATTACAGCCAACTGTCCAATTACACTGTTCAATTACAACTGTACAGAATGATTAGTGAAAAATTGAAGCAGCTGATGCACCAATCACATTTAAGGAAATTGTAATGGTTATGATTGATAGTTTAATTGTGCTGAGCTGATTCAGACTTTAGAGTCTGCTTCCATCTGTGGTTTATCCTAATAACTAAGTCATTAGAGTAATATTTTTGAGGGCAAATTTACACCTTTTCAATCCATTAAGTCTATACCAGTAATTAGGAATATTAAATAAATGTGGCAAGTTTTAAATCTCACTTTGGATATTGGTTTCAAGGTCGTACATAAAGTGAAAAACTCAAAAGGAATTTCACAGTTTCAGTTTTCACTCAATTAGAATCGCCTATAATAGCTTTAGAAAGAATGAAGTCATGCTTACTTTAAGCATAGATATGATTAATACAATTGAGCTGTTATTTGCTTAATCACAAGTATGGAGCAAAATAACAAACCCAAGTCTTCCATAAAGAATCAAACCCTATCTATAAGGTTAATATATAACATAATAATATCAAAATTAAATTGATTCATCAACTTCTACTGATAAACATTTTCTCAGGTACTGTCTTAAGATAAACAACTATAAATACAGTTAAATAACCAGTGTCACTGAAAGACATTTTATGTGCCAAGTAGAAATGATGGGATTTTAATGATGGGATTCCAGAATCTTTCTGGCCTCTTTTGTAAATTAGGCAAAAATCAAAACTCACTTGTTACTATTCCTCCAGTGACTGGGTAAAGAAATCCAATGAATATTATGAGGAGAGGAAAAAGCATTCCTCGTGAATGTTGCCTCATAGCAAAGAAAGCAACAGCAGCTGAAATACAATGGATGAACACTGATGTTGCCAAACACCAAAGAAAGATCTGATACCACATTTCTGCAAAGGAAACAGAACTTTATGAACATACAGCTTACAAGCAAATCTTTTAATTCTATTTGTTACAATTGTGAGGCAAAAAATTGTAATGCTTTAAGGGGAATTCTTGGTTGCTTCTTAGAGGCTCAGATATTTACATTTTTAGATGCTAGTAAATAATCCTACAACTACATGACTGTGTAAATAAGATACATGATTTTTATGACTCACATGGTGAATGAGGTAAATGACAAAAATAAGTGAAATTGAAACTGTTGCAAAAGCCAGCAGAGTGGTTTCCCAAAATGTCAAATTCCTTATAACCTAAGCCTTGACAGCCCCTGTCCTTTTCATATCCTAAATATCCATTTTGAGAAATATGAGAAGGTTTAGCAATTTGTTTAGAAGGAGCACTGTATACTTTGATGTAAATTCTCTACTATAAGAGGTCTAGGAGCTACACCCATTGTAAATGTGTTGTTTTGGGGAAATTATAGTATTCTATCAAAATAAAAAACAAACAAAATTAAATAAAGGGAAAATCATAGCATAGTTTCATTCACAAGGAAAAAAACAGTGGGTTTATCTATTTACACAATGTCATGTACATGTAAGTGTGAAAGATCTCATCCCTAATGACATGGTTCTGGTTTCTGATGCATTAAAACACACAAAACATTGGTAATGTGAAAAACATACAATCACTGTTCGCTTCACAGACACCTTTCTAGTACAAATACAAATACACCTACACCTCTCACTAACAGTCAGTTTCTTATGTCTCAACAACATTCTGACGTGAAATTAACTTAAAAAAACATCATAATGGCCTTTCCTCAGATGGGCAATGGGTATCATATTATGGTCCCACAGAGCAAACACACATGAAATAAGCCTCTTTATTACTCACACCCATGTTATATTATTATGATGATAGAAATTACCTATACTGTGTATTAGTAATACATTTTCCTGGTTTTTTTTTTTTAACTGAAACATTAAAAATCCTTTAGTTAATAAAATTCTATTCAATAAACTTTCTTGAGGCTTTCACCATGGAACTTGTTATGATTCGCTGCTCTAGTAAACTAAAGAAAGGTGAAGGAAAGCTATGGTATTACTTATTAAAAGGCGTACCCAGTTGACCCAGTCAGCCTTAGTGCCTGAAGGAGACTTGCAGTAGTAAGTTTGACTGTCATGATTTACTTCAAAAGTGACTACAGCGTGAGACAATCTTACTTCATCTTCTATTCACCAGGATAAGTAACGGTAAACTTTTTTGCATTAATTTTTTTGTGTAAGTGTAATACTGAATTGTTGTTTTTTCATTGGTCAACTGCAGATTTAAACATCTTGCTGTAAGCTTATGTGCGAGGTTGCTTTTACCTGCTTGATTATTCAAAACCATCAGTGGAAATAAAATCAAGAGCACTTTTAATTGCACCAAAACTATAATAGGATTCGATGAACTAGAATCTAAATCAAAAGCTGAATTAACTTAAGGTCGTTTAGAGTAAGCTTGGACGTTTTAAACATTTCCCTTTTTTAATTTGCGTTTCATCGTCCACTCACCACCGAAAAAATACAGAGTCCCTTGCACGTCCATGCCTTTATATTTGCTCTCCTATTACTAGAGACAGCTACCACTGTCGTTTCTCAGGGGGTCTCCTGATCAGCCTTTTCAATACTTTAGAGCATCAGAAGTTTCGTTATGAACCACTCGGCGTACCGCCATGTTCTTCATCATTGTAAACCTTCTGTTACTTTTTGTTCACTTTCACGTACTACGTCGTATACTCCTCATCGAATTATATCCAATCAGAGCTTTTCTGGCGCGCTCTTTGAAAGTGCTTCGAAGGGCGAAGAAATAGCTAGCTACGCAAATGGAGCCTTGCGTGGCGTCCTTCTTTATTTGTCTGGGATAAGGCTCTGCGGTACTGATAACTTGACACTTAAAAACCATTGAGGCAGAACTTCAGAACACGAAGTAGCTCCACAAATAAGAACATATGGTAACCAATCAATTGGCGAGGAAAATTTAGAGAAATAATTATCATTGCCGAATCTCCAAAAATTGTGGATTTAAGTCTGAAAAGCGGTTGTCGAAAGGAATTTTCGACATCGTGAAGTAAAATCCAGTTCGAAAATAAATTCGAAGTTCACTTTCGAGGTTACTACGGCCATGGAGATATGTAAACAATATCCTCCATTTGGCGCGAAATCATACTCGGATATTTGTCCTGGGATATTTGAACTCAGATTTGAATTTTCAGTGGGATTTTATGAACGAACAAATTTGTCTATTCTTCCATAATAACAAAAAAACCACTTTCCTGACTTGAATCGACTTTTGAGGGAAGACTTTAATCGCATTGGACACAAGTGTTGAAATAAAAAAATTGGGAATATCACTTGGCGAATATCAACCCGGTTCTGGGCATACTAGATCACGTGATGCCTTTAAACTCATCGCCACCGAATGAAAATATTCGATGGATTATGATAATAATGTTATCCTTTTGATTTAGGAATTGTGGAGTAACCTTTAAATGTAGTTGAGTTACGATTAGAACAAGGGAGTCTTTTCTTTCTCCTTTGGTCCTGCGTGCTTTAAAGAGAAAGGGAAAGGGAAACGCCTTACTGACATTTGAACGGAAAGGAAACGCACTCTGCACGCTTTTCAAAAGTTTTTAGACCCTGTCAGTTCAGCAACATTGGTCTTACTCTCTGCTCTTAGACCTGATAATGAACTCCTTAACTTAGACGATGTACAATGTGACAATATGGTCCGTCTGGTTCTCGATCCTGTTCAGTGGAGAGACCAATGAAGTGTGTGCGGAAAATGTTTTTTCTTTTTTTTTGGTAAACAATTGTCTTTATTAATTTTTACATACAACAGCCCAGTACTAACAATACGTAAAACACTTATAATAATCACGATAACAACACAATGTTTACGTTAATTATAATACTACCCCTATTGCTATTTTGCTTTTTTTTGCATTTCGGAGCTTAGCGGAAGATGTTCTTCCGAAATAAGGCTTGATGTGGGAACAAAAGTAAGCAAAGAAATCAGCCTTAATTTCGTTTTCAGAGCCGCTGTTCAGCGCGTAACATTGAATGAAGGTGGTTTTTCGAACCTGGTGTGGAACCTCACTGTGACAATCTAGATTATAAACAGCTACTACTTTTGGGTAAATTCACAGGTTGTATCCAACTCCTCCGTAAAGTGAACATACGCGTCATGGCAAACTGAGTCGAGGACAATCTGTCAAATTCACAGTCTTTTACGGCTAAACTCAATTTATCATGACTTACAAAGGCCTAAGATTGACAGTTTGTACAAACAGATATTACAAAGCTTCGGCTAGTTCGTAACAGCAAATATGGAACAATATAAAGCAGGTGAGAGTTTGCAGTTAAGGCAGATAAACACCAACAACGGGATATTTTCACGCAACGTTTTCTCGCTCCTCGCCTCCTCTACATAGCCCTTCCTCTACTATCCTTTCTTCTGAACAACACAAGCTTTGGTTGCACTACAGAGTCACCTACAGTTGACCATCTGTTTAACAAGGACGACCCTCATACTTATGCTATCTAAACGCTTATGCCTCTCGACCATTATAAAAAACTCTACTTAGTTAAAAGAAATACGCCAAAGCTTAGTTGAAAAAAAAGACAGAAGACCAATGCTTTGAGAAAGGAGCCGGACACTTTCAAAAACCTGGGAGCGAATAAAGAGGAGGGAATATAACATGCTACATGGAAAGAAAAGACCAGAAGTGTTAAAGAAGAATAAGGATACAAGAACAAACTGAAAAAAGTCTGAATTCAATTCAGGCGAACGAATGAAAGCGATTGGCAGCCGCATGCTCTGACAGTCACAGCTCATCGCTTTGGCAACGTTTATTAGAAACGAAAGGAGAACAGTAAAGAAGTGGAAAGAAATGACAATCTTCAAATCTATTTTTAAAGGGATGCACCAGCTTAGACCAGATCTGGAAAATTTGTATCTCCTCGGAGACGGAGATAACTAGGGTCCGTAATTCAACTAGAAACTGTCTATCAAATAGCGACGATAGGACTAGAGAGTTGTCTTAGGAATAAAAATTCCTCCCTCCAAGGATTGTCAGAGAACACCAGAAGCAAAAGATACAATACTTCACATCTAACTTAACAGCAACGATAAAATGCGACCGAAATCTCTCCGAAACACTGTATCTTAGGAAAAAAAGGCCCACCATTAAAGTTCAGAGGGTTGAATGAAAAACAAAACTTTGCATCCAAGAATAAATCAGGTAAAATGGGAAGAGAAAGAAACACACGGGTATACCAAAAAAAAAATGGTGACAGAGACACTGACTAGGATATGACAAACCAATGGCTTTCTACGCAAAAGAAAAAACGTTATGAGCTGAGCAGTGTTAGTTACAATCATTACAATTACAAACATTACAATCTTTTGGATGTGCAAATAGAGCAGACCGTGAGAAATGGGCCAACAGACTAGATAGTGTCATCAAGAATGAAGAACAAATAAAGCTGCCTACTCATCAATGTCTCCATTCCAAAGAAAATTCCAAAGGAAAACCGTATCGAAAATAAGTGAAAATCTGTTGTAAACATGAAGACCTTGAAATCCATATCGAAAGAGTGAGCGGGACGAGATCCGCTCGGCTGAAGCCAGTACTGATAAGAGTCCTGGGACCTTTAAAGAAATTAATAAATAGATCTATTTGTAAGAGACACAATTTCTTGTCCATTAGCTAACATCAAAATACAGGGAACACAATAGATCGCACTTATTGGAGAAGGCACTACACGATTAGGCCCAAACTTGATTATGCAACAAGATCTATTTGGGAGCCACGTTATGCAGGCAAGTGCGATGTGCAAAAACTAGAGAGAGTTCTTAATGCTGCTACACGTTTCTACACAGAGAATTATCATTCTCGCTATAAATTAAATGTTACCACTTATACTACGATGCACAACTTGGGAACTGAAAGAACCTCTGGACAAGAGAATAAAAGTCAATCGCCAGTTAGTGATAAACAAATGACTGATTGTGATATGGTCAGGAAAGCAAATAAGAGCTCAGTAGTTTGAAAGGGATCACAGTTACCTGCTAGTCCAAATATTTCAGAACAGAAAAGATATCTTCAAGTTCCCGTTTTTCCTTGCAACTACTAGAAACAAGAATGAACTTCAAGCGGAGACAGCTACTATCACGTAGTAGCACAGTTATTGCGTTTTTGGACAGTCTGTAGGTTTATTATCAGACTAGATGGGCTTATATATTATTCTGCTATTTACGTTTTAAAAATTCTAGAAGTTAGAGGGATGCTTTGTCAGTGTTTTCTAAACCAAAAATGTTTTATAATGAACATCATATTGAGTTAGTAGGGAAGTCAGTAAGTTATAACGTATGTTTAAGTCACCTCAATTGTTATTAATTTCAAAGAATAGGGGAAGTAATAATGATTAAAACATATCCCATGATGATAATGATGATGATGATGATGTTTATGATGATAATGATAATGAGAAGGTAGAGATCATGTAAAACGTTTCGTTGAGTAAGAGACATAAGTATTAAAAGCGACACTAGAGAGAGTCACAATGCTTTCATTCCAAGTATCCTCTTCTACACGAGGCCAAAAAGATAATGTGCACAAGAAATACAATTAAAAATCACTGCTGCAAGAGAGAAGGTGATGATCAACCGGACTGAAAAAAGTAATTAATGCCATCGATACTTTCATTCTGTATCTTGATTGAAATGATCGACTTTCAACCACTTATCCTAGATGAGAAATTTAAGATAGTTCACCTGTTATGAATGCAGTGGTTTCCTGTAATATTTTATTGAAATTGGAACATGTTCTTTTGGTCGTGCTACTTCTTTATTGATTGTGTAAGTTTATATAATATAAATTCGAGAAGGAATACTCACGCACTATATTCGACTACAAAGAACTCAGCTTTTATCAGCAAGGAAATGCATAGCAAGTCGTCGTGATAATGAAAACAGAATTCTGTTCATTCCAGTTATACTGAGGACTCGATCTATAATGACTCACTTAGATAATTGCTGGCCAGGCTTGCTTACATTTAAGCTCAGTGCTGTACTTAATGAACATCCTCCCTACTAAAGTTCCTAAAGGAAATATAATTGTCAATATACTACCTGTTTTACTAAGTAATTTGTTTCCAGGCACTTATTCCGGTTCAAAATTACTATTTCCTTCAGACATTTCTTGGAATCTTTAAAATCGAGTATTTTAAGAAGTCCTTTCCTCAGAAGTGCAAAGGAAGGAAAGAGTGCTTGTAAACCAATTAGCTGTTTTCTTCTTTAATCATGTGTTCAGAAAGTCTCAGCTCAAATTTTGGTTTCATCTTTTGCCATTATACTTTCTGTCTTAATCCCTGTGCTCAGCTAAAATATTCTTATTAATCAGAAATAGATGATGACAGAGAAAAGTTTCTGAGAAACTTCACTTGACTCAGTCAGGAATACAGTAATCAGAAGTCGGACATGAATACCACAACATTGAAGATAATTGAAGATTCCACTCTCTTATTGGTATTTCCAAGTTTCTTGATATCTCTTCGATTAATTATCTTATTCTACTTCAGTTACTTTTCGTCCATAGTGAGCTGGGCTGGCTGGTATCATACTCTATCCAGAGTCTATCAGTTAATCTTTTGTTCCTTACGTTTCTCTCCTGTTGAAGGCTGATATAAACAATTGTAGATGAGTGATGCTTAGTGCTGGATATGTCTCTCGTCTAAATCACTGTTCGTCACACTACCAACCAACCAACAAA